ATTCCAAGGGGGTCCCCTCCCAGCCCACCCCACCTATGGTGACTCCATCAGTCGCCAGGCAGTGTTTCTTATGAAGACCTGATTAAGTTGGGCCAGGGTGCCCATGAGGATCACCCCACACCCCAGAAGGACCAGCCTTAGGAGCAGAACTCCCCAGCCCCCTTCCTCTCCCATCCTCATCCTGGGGGCTGAATTCCCAGTGGATGGGCATGGGCCAGACAGTGATGGGGTTTCTGGGAAGCCTGCAGCTTTTCTTTGGCCCAGACCCACTGCTTGCTGTGGCCTGCCTCCGGGAGCGGAAGGAGTGGGGGCAGCATTCTCTCCAGCACTGGCAGCTGAGCCCCCAAACCCCAAACACCGGCTGTGCTAAATACCAGTCTTTGTTCGTGAGAGGCCAAAACCCCATTGACCTCCCAGCTTTTACTGGCAGCTAATTTGGCCAAGAGAAAAGAGTGAGCACTGGATAGCAGGACCCAGCTACCCTCTGTCCCAGCCTCCCAGCGTGGCTCCATAGGCCAGCTGCTTGGCAGTGCTGGGAAGTTACCATTGAAATCAGCACCAGTTGACTGAAAAAGCGCCAGAGAGCTGAGCCCAAGCTAAGGCTGAGCGTCAGGATGGGCTGCCTCCCCAGCTGCCCTGGTGGGGGCACAGCTCCCGGACAGCCTCTGACCCTCGGGGCTACAGAGCCTCTTTGAGGTGCGGCTCAGTCCTGACCCAGCAGCTGAGCTCCCTGCTTCCCCCCCCACTACCACCCTCCACTGTTTCCCACCCACTTCATTCAAGTTTTTCCAGCCTCTCCTAGTGGTGAGTGGAGTTTGAGGATAATTGGGTCACCGCCCTCTGACCCCCAACTCCCTCTGCCCTCTCTCATCCACTAACCCTGATGCCCATGCTGCAGAGCCTACTGCTTCCCCACCTCCTCTTCTTTGCACCCCTCTTTTCCACTCCCTGGGGTACCCTGCCTCTACCCTGTCCCCACAGCCCACGGGAGACTGGCAGGACAGGGGCAGACCGGGCAGGGAGCTGCTTTACCTGAGGGTGCGCTGCAGCTCGGCGCCCAGCTCAGTTCTGCACTGAGGGGGCTCCTGCAAGCACAAGAGCTTTTCTGCTGCCTCCCAATCCAGCTTCCAGCAGGCTTCGGATTACAGCTACTCCTGTCTTAAAGCGACCTGCACTCAATTCGGAGTCCGTGATTGCATCATTGTCTGGCGTTAACTTTAACCCACTGCTGCCCTTCCTGCAGGCACCCCGACGACACCCACATTCACACACCCTACTGGCCCACCTTCAGGCCCTAGCCTTCCTCACTGCCTGAGGGTCCACGCCGGAGGGCACCCTGGCCAGCCCAGGTGGGAAACTGGGCTGAGGAGGGGTCTTGCAGGAGGAGGCCCAGAGGCAGGCTAGTGGAGTGAGGAAAACACTGGCCTAATACTGGGGTTCTGGGTTTTTCCTGGTCCTTGGCTCTGGTACTAACTGGGATTTGGGGCAAGACCACTCTCATGGTTCCTCCCTTTCTCGGCTGAAAAATGAAGGGATGGCCTGGCCAGGTAGCTCAGTTGGTTAGAGCGTCTTCCCAATATGCCAAGGTTGCAGGTTTGATCCCCTGTCAGGGCACATACAAGAAGCAACCAATGAATGCATAAATAAGCGGAACAACAAAGTCAATCTCTCTCTCTCTCTCTCTCTCTCTCTTTCTTCGTCTCCCTCATCCTCTCTCTAAAAAAAAAAAAAATCAATAAAAAAATTTTTAAATGAAGGGATGGGCCCTGGCCAGTGTGGCTCAGTTGATTGAACATAGTTCCATACACTGAGAGGTCACTGGTTCGATTCCTGGTCAGGGCACATGCTTGGGCTCGATACCCAGTAGGGGGTGTACAGGGGGCAGCTGATTGACGTTTCTCATCCATGTTTCTCTCTCTCCCTTCCTCTCTCTCTCAAAATCAAGAAAGACATTTATTTTTTTAAATGAAGTGATGGAACTGGGTTATCTGGGTGCTTTTTCAGCCCTGGAATTCTGTAATTTTGAAAGGGAAGTAAGGAAAATATCTGACCAGAGGAAGACATGAGATGTACTATAAACATTAGTCCTGAGAGGAGCCGAGTGTGTGCCTGGCACCCACCTAGACACAATAGAAGTCACCTGGAGAGGAGAACACCTAGGCCCTGTCCACCTTGGGATGTTTAGGAACCTGCAATGTGGTTGTGAAACTAAAATACTGACATGGGAAATAGAGAATGTAACAAAATGTTTTCTAGGTAGATATGAGTCCTGGCCAGAGGAGGAAAGGAAATTGCTCTGGGATATTTAGGCTGAGGAAGAGAAATTTTAGGGGAACCTCACCTCCTGTGAGGTTCTAGGGAGCAGAGCTAGGGCCCCTGGGTAGAATTTTCCAGTGGACAAAGTTCAGCTTTATATAAAGAGTGTGTCAACAGTCAGAGTTCACTCCATTTACCAGAAAGTTGAGTACCTAGATACAAGGAGGGGAAGGAGTACATAGATGAATTAGACTCAGACCCTCCAGAAACTTACTGGCTGATAACAGAGGCTGATGTGGGAAAAGTTCATTTCAATATAATGCAACACATTCTGTGACAGCAGTCTTTAGAGCCACACTGTCCAATACAAAAGCCACTAGTCAGGTGTGACCATGAGCACTTGAAATGTGCTAGTCTGAGCTGTGATCTGCAGTAAGTGTAAAATACACACCAGATTTTGAATATTTAGTATAAAAAGAATAATGTAAACCATCTCAATTTTACACTGATTACATACATTGAGTTAAATTAGATAGATTATTAAAATTAATTTCACCTACTTCTTTTTTAATGTGTCTACTAGAAAATATTAAATTACATGTGTGGTCTGCATTGCATTTCTAGTGGACAGCGATGCTCTGCGGGGTATTGTGGCAGAGCGGTTGGAATATAGGAATCTAAGCTGCATCTTGAAGGATAAATAGGAGTGAGCTAAGCATAGAAAGGTAGGAAGGCGTGACTATCCAAGCAGACGAGTTAAAATTGGATCCCTGTTTCACAAAAATGAGCACTATGTACATTAGAGTTTTAAATGTGAAAAACCATTTCTGTTTTTGCAGAACCGTTTAAAATGACTTTTTATTTAAATTATTTACTTTTTTTGAATGGGTCTTATGTTCACATGGTTCAAAACTCAAAAGCAACAAAGTATACAAATGAAAAAAGTCTTCCTCTCGCTCTTATCTTCCGTCAGGGTCTCCACTGCCTGGAGACAGCTGATGTTAATCTCTTTCCTAGGTATCCTTTCAGAGATACTTTTAGTGCCTTAAAAAGCAAACACAAACACATACACAACAGGAAAAATTGTAAATGTTTTAGAAAAATGTATAGATGGATATCTTTGTGATCTCTGGGTAAGAAAGATATTTGTTAAGACAATACACCAAAGGAAGCATGAATTATAAAAGATTGATAGATCTGGCAATAAAATTAAAAACTTGTTTTCATGAAAAACAAAATGAAAAGCAAGCCTCACACTGGGAGAAAAGATTTGTAACAGAGACAACTGATAGAAGAAATCACTAACTGGGATACAGAAGAATTACAAATCAGTAAGAAAAAGAAAATCAATTCAACAGAAAAACAGGACCAGGTAATTTAAAGAAGATGAATCTTAAATGGCCAATAAACTTATAAAAAAGGGTGTTTTGCCCTCACCGGTAATCAGGGGAATGCAAATTAAAACCATAATTGATGAGTGTATTTCAACCTCATCAGATGGGCAAAATTTAAACATCTAACAAAACCAAGTGTTGGTGAGGATGTGGACAACCAGGATCTCTTATGCGCTGCTGGCGAGAGCGTAAATTGATACAACCAGTTTGAAGAGCAATCTGGCAAAGTTGTGCATAACTGTATGTGGCAGCTCTGGCAGTTAAAGGTAGGTAAGCCCAAACCCACAACTCAGTAATTCCACTCCTATGCATGTGAGCTGAAAAGACTCCACATATGTGCACAAGGAAGTATGTAAAGACTATCCTAGCCCTGCTGGCATGACTCTATGGCTGAGCATCGACCTAGGATCCAGGAGGTCACAGCTGGACTCCTGGTCTGGGCACATGCCCAGCTTTCGGACTCCACCCCCAGCAGGGGGCGTGCAAGAGACAGCCAGTCAATGACTCTCATCATTGATGTTTCTCTCTCTCTCCCTCTCCCTTCCTCTCTCTGAAATCAATAAAGACATATTTTTAAAAAGAAAAGAAAAGAATATCCTAGAAGCATGATTTGTAGTGACAAAAAAATGGGAGCTCCCTTTATGTCCATCAATAGGAGACTAAATAAAGGATGGAAAAGTCTACAGCCTGAGAAATAATCCAGGAAAGCCATTTAAATCAACACAGATTTATCTCACAATGTGGAGTGATACAAATTGCAGGAGAATACAAACGGGATGATCCATTTATGTAAGACTTAAAAACACACAAAATGATACTATAGAGCACTTACAGATAAAAACTCATGTGGTGAAAATAAAAGAAATGCATGAAAATGAAAACCAAATTCAGGATGATCGTTCTGGGGGTAAGGGACAGATTGGGGGAAGGGAATGTAAGGCTGTCACTATATGAGAATTTTGTTGTTGTTGTTAATCCTCACTCGAGGATATTTTTTCCATTGATTTTTAGAGAAAGTGGAAGGGGAGGGAGGAGAAGAGAGAGAGAAAGAGAGATCCACTGGTTGCCTCCGGCATATGTCCTGTCTGGGGTGGGAATCGAACCTCCAACCCAAGTATGTGCCCTTGATTTGGAATCGAACCCTCAGCGCTTTGGCGCGCAGGCCACTGAGCACGCGGGCCAGGACTATACTGAAAAAAATTTTTTAAATGTTTTTATTGATTTCAGAGAGAGGAAGGGAGAGGGAGAGAGAGAGAAACATCAGAGAATCATGGATCGGCTGCCTCCCGCACACCCCCTGCTGGGGATCGAGCCCGCAACCCGGGCATGTGCCCTGACCAGGAATCGAACTGTGATCTCCTGGATCCCGGGTCGATGCTCAACCGCTGAGCCACGTCAGCCAGGCTACTGAGAATGTTTTTTAAGTTGGGCAGTGGCATTATGTAATTCATTATACCTTTTGGTATGTCCCAATTATTTCACAGTAACTTATTAAAAAAAGAGATTTCTCTTTCGTCCGATGACCGCGGAAGGACTGTTTCCCTCTCCTACTGCAGAAGAGGGCCTCGGAGTGCTCTGCAAGGACTTGGCTCCTGCAGGTGGCCCTTTTCCCGAAGGATCACTCCACAGTCTTCATAGAAGTGTGAGGCTTATTTTTCATTTTGTTTTATGCTATTTCTCATGAAAACAAGTTTCTCATTTTAGTGCCAGATCTATCAATCTTTTATAATTCACACATCCCCTATCACCTCCCCCCTTTTTAAAAGCACACCCTCCAGGCCATATCCCCTAAAGCCACTGCCCATTTCTCTGCTCCCCCTCACAGCTATTGATTCTTGCGTCTGCAGTGTCTTTGCTCCATTCCCTCCCCAGCCTCAAGCTTGCTTCTGTGCCCACCTTTGAAACCTCTGTCACCAAGTTCACAGGCAACCTCTGTGTCTCTGCCTTGGCCTTCTTGAAACCTTAACTTCATACCCTCCTGTTTTACTCCCACCTCGCATCGCTGCATCTTTCCTGTCCCCTTGCTGGCCTGATCCTGGGACCTCTTTCTTTCTCCCTCTACGTCTCCTCTTAGGTGATTTCTCCCAGTTTCATGACTTACTTTTTATTTTTTATTTTTTTAATTTATCTTTATTGTTGAGAGTCTTACAGATGTCTCCCATTTTTCTCAGTTCCATAACTTTAAATGCCTCTGCATCCTTCCAGATATACATTTCCAGCCCTGACCAAAATATCCAGTTTCCTATTTGACATATCCACATGGATGCCCAGTGGGTAGGATGAACATATTATCCAAACACTTCTAAGAGCAAAAATGAATGCAATTAATTAAGCTGGACATAACTCAAACTGTCCCGGGCAGACTGGGACATATGCTCACCCTATATAAGTGTGGCATTTAAGATGGAAATCTTCAGTCAGTGCTAAAATCTGCCCCTCACTCTGATTCCCGTCAAAGTAAAAG